TGGCTTTTTTATAACCATCGCAATCGGTGTGTGCAGGGAGGTAACACAAGGATCATTGACCTTTGCTGAATAGTCAGGAATGGTTACTAGTGACGTGATGCAGGGCCGAAAGTGGAAAGAATAATGTTTTAAGGCAAAAAAATATCTTCTAGCCAAGCCAGTTATACATTTGCATTTCAAAACGGAGAAAAATTAAAACAGGCTTAATGTGTCATCATGTGAGAATTTGCCTCCCCCAGCTAAAAACAAATTTGATCTCCAAGCCTTTCCTCATTGTTCTACTGCAGAACACAAGTCACAGATCTTTGTGCCTGTGCACTGTTCTCTGCAACATGATTATCTCCTGGTGGTGGGCAGTGCCGTCAAGTCACAGCTGGCCTAAGGTGACCCCACAGGGTTTCCGGACATGGGTTTGCCATTGCCTGCCTCTGCCTGGTCTTCGTTCTAGCCAAGCCAGGTGTTACAGTTGCACTTCAAAGCAGAGAAAAATTAAAACATGCTAAATGTGTGTGTCCTATGACTATCCCCCTCCCCCACTGAAAATGGAACCATTTTGATCTCCAACCTTTCCTCTTTGTTCTAGTCAGGGGTCATTTCGTAGAAAAAGAGGTGCAGGAGCTCATTAGCATAACTCATTTGCATATGCCACATCCCCTGACATCACCAGATGTGTGTCAGAAAGCAACACCCACCGCTCAGGCTCCACTGGACTGTTTTGGATTGCTAGCTATTTTTTTTTTGGGGGGGGGGATGTGCAGATCTGTCTTCACAGAGGAGGGAGAGCTTGTACCTGAATAAAACTTGGTCTTAAAGGTGCCACTGCACAGTTTTGGACCAGGGGCCCGGGAGGGTGGGGTGGGGCTCTGCAGCTTACCTGGCTGCTTCTTGCTCTGAGGGCTGCTGGGAGCAGGGGGTGGGGCTTGTTGCATGTGCCCGCCCGCTGGGCTCTTTACTGCCGGAGCTCCGCTCCTGTGCGCTCCTGCAGGAAATGACCCCTGGTTCTAGTGTAGAACATGTCACAGATTTTGGCTCTTGGGGCTTATGTCAGTGCTCTGTTCTGCACAATGTGATTATCATTAGGTGGTGGTGGGAAGTACTATCAAGTCTCAGCTGACTTATGGTGACCCTTGGTGGGGTTTCCAAGGCAAGAGAGGTTCAGAGGTGGTTTGCCACGGCCTGCCTCTGCATCGTGACCCTGGACTTCCTTGGTGGTCTCCCATCCAAATATCAACCAGGGCCAACCTTGTTTAGGTTGGGCTAGATTATCTTTTACTTATCTAAAAAATTAAACAAGGCTGCTTAAAGAAGAGAAAACCCTCTCCAATCATCTGATCCTAGAGATGGTGTGAAACCATTTCCCACAATGGCAGCAGGGAGGGAAATAGGTCTGTCTGGGGAGAAAGCGGGCAAAGGGTATCTCCCACCATCTGCTTCAAGCCCCCAACACAGACGGGGCAGGTAATTTAAGTTACTTTCACCCCTTGGTGGTAATCATATTAATAATTATCATATGGCAGTGTGCATAGTATAGCCAGGAGATCCTAAGATTGTCTGGCAGCTTTTAGCATTATGCACCACCACTAGGTGGCGAGCTAGACTTTTTTTTTAAGGCAAGAGACGTTTCAGAGGCGGTTTGCCATCGCCTGTCTCTGCATCACAACCCTGGTATTCCTTGGAGGTCACCCATCAGTATACTAGCCGAGGCTGACCCTAGCTTCTGAGATCTGACAAGATCGAGCTAGCCTAGGCTATCTAGGTGGTAAAGAACCACGAGCACAAGCTGGTCCACAGTCAACTACTTCACATGCATTGATTTCCAGAGTGTATGGCTCAGACAATGGCCATGGAATGCTAGTGCAGTCCCAGTGGCATTCATGCAGTCTGATTCAAGGGCAATCTACATGTGGCTTTGGAATTTTGTGTTTTGAACCCCAGGTGTGTCTGTATGCATTGTGAGTGTTGGGGTCTGCATCAGACCTGTAACGCTGGCAAATGGGGAAGGCGTTTAGCCCCTAAAATCCATTCTTCCAACAATGATGTCCCCTTTGGTTGCATTAATCTCTGGTGAAGGCAGGCAGACACAATTTGGGTAACTCTCTTCCCTATTAAGGATCAAAGTAACCCGGAAGGACATTTTCAGTAGCAGCAAATGCATGTGCTGTGTGCTGTGTGTGTGTGTGGGAGAGCTCAGACGCCCTTCTCCAATGCCGCAGCTCTGACCCACATTTGGGTCCTCTGTGGCTCCTTTTTAGAGTTAAAGACCACATGGGCAGTACCAGTCATGGAACTCCACCATCCCATTGGCATCCATTAAGCATGAACAGGCTTCCCCTGTCAGGTCAACAGAGAAAGCACGGCCCATTCATCTCTTTGCCCATTCAGACTGCAGCTGCCATCAATATCGCCCATCTCCTCCCCTACTGTTAAGTTTTAGGTACCATCTGCAACCTTTTAAAAATTTCCCCTGGACAATTTTCTAATTCCGCTTGCCTTCCTTGCTGAGCTTTTGTCCACTTTTGCGGCTACTCCCAAGTTTAGCTGGTTTCGTCGTGTTGGCTGGTCAGTTCTTTCTGTGTTATGTTTTTAATTGTTCCTGTGGGTTTTGGGGTTTTTTTGTTAGTTAGTACCAGGGTTCACCCTTTTGTACCACTGCAGCACACTGGGTAGACCTTGAGCCGTCCACTATGACTCCAGATCTTTTCCCCCTCTGAGTCCCAGCAGGTTCAGACCCCATTAGCCTATACCTGAAGTTGTTGTGTTTGTTCCAGTGTGCATCACCTTATACCTACCTACATCGAACTTCATTCGCCACATTGTCGCCCACTCACCCAATTTGTGGCTCTCCTCCCAGAGTTCTTCACAGCCAGCCTTTGTCTGCACCAACCTGAATAATTTTGAGTCACCTGCAAACATGGCAACTGCACTGGTTACCCCCAGTTCAAAATCATTTATGAACACACAAGTAATACCTGTCCCAACACCAATCCTTGTGGGACCCTCCTGCTTACTTCCCTCTGTTGGCGGGGCTTCCTTGCACTCCCGCTGGCTTTGCAGGTCCACCGCCGGGCCCCTGATGTCAGGGTGTGTGGCATATGCTAATGAGTTATGCTAATGAGTTCCCCTAGCTCTTTTTCTACGAAATTACCCCTGACAACAGTGTTTTAATGATAGTGGAAGCCCCCTTGTCCATTTTAATGAAGAGAATGGCTGAGAAATTTGAAGTGAATTTGGGTTCGCAAAAAAGCAGCTGTCAAGGGGATCCATGTGCGTTTGGGATGACCAGACTATCAATATCTCTTATGGGAAGATATTGGGGTATTCAGAACCAGCCACACCCTCCCTTGAAGGGGAAGAGTTTTTTTTTCCAGCAGGGCACCCTGAGGTGTGTATCAGAGCCCCTGCAAAGGATCTTGGCTTAGGTAAAGCACCATTTGGCTACTGTGCTCATGCTAATTCATGACAGAAAGTCTACATGGATGCTTTCTATGGGAGTTGTCCCTGCTGCCTGGTTGAGTTTCCTGTAGAAGGTTCACTTAGGATGATATGGTTCAATTACAATATTCGCAGGATTTTGAAAAAAACAGGTTTCCATTATATCTTTTTAAATGGATGTGCTGTGGATTAGGGTTAAAAACTGATGCAGGCATACATGTATAACTACTTCTGAATGGGGCTGTCCTTCCATGAAAACGATACACAAGTTTGGCATCCTTCTGAACTTCTCATTTTCCCTGGATAAACAGGCAGTGATGGTTAAGAGGTGTTTTAGCTGTTGTGGCTGTTTCCTGGAACAGCTGACCTAACCAGCATTGCACATGCTTTGGGAATATTCAGAATAGACTGCCCTAACATGGTCTGTGTGGAGCTGCCATTGAAGATGGTTCAGAAAACTTCACCAGCTACAAAATGCAGCAACCAACATGGTAAAAAAAGTCTGTCTTGTTTCTACTTCAGGGAAGACTTGATTTTCAGGGATTCTGGGATGAGGCTGATCACATCTTTCAGGGGTGGCGGTGGCGGTAAACAAATTGTGTATCCCCCAAATATCACGGAGGGCATCTCACCAAAAATATTCTTTTTCATCAGTAAAGGAATAAAGCCATTTCCAAAGTCAAACAAAATGTTTTTAATACTGTAGTTTTTAGCAAGAACATTTTAACAAAGAATGTGTACTTTTAACTTAATATGGTACAACAGAGAAACTATACTTTAAAGTTTCCATTATCTAACATTCTACTGTATATTCACTCTTTTCCGTCTCATTTTAAAAGACCAAAAAAGCCAAGTGGAACTGAGATTTTTTTTTTAAAAAAAAGCACTGATTGATAATCCCCTTCATACATCAACTAATTGGAGGAGGGGTTTTCGTTCGTTCACACTCTCAAATTGGTCATTTACGGAAAGGACTTTTTTTTTTACATCATCATCATGTTAAAAAATGTACACACTGTTCTCTCCAAAACGTAATATATATTGAATTCAGCTTCAGTAAACAAAGCTTAAAATTTATAAACACAATTGAAACAGCCGCATGTTGGACAGTTTCAGTGATAAAACTGGGCATGTTGTATGAACAAGCCAGCGAGAACCTTTATGTTCATTGTGCCATAGCTATACTGTCATAGCTAATTCCTTGACCAAAGAAACAAAAATGATAGTTGTTCTTTTGGGAAAATCATTCCTGTATGTGCTTAAAAATACTAAAATTTTTACTCTCTCTCCCTCTCTCTCTCTATCCTCTGGGACCTAAAATGATCTGTTGCAACAGGGTTTGGTTTGGTTCGGCAAAGCTTGTGAGAAGCCTTGGCAATCTGAAATTTCGGCAATTCTTGAGACAGGAACAGCAAATTGCTTGAAATCGTCCAGGTTTTCGATGCTACCAATCCTGTTCTTCACACAGCACTGAAGGCATCAAAGGTTAGAAGGGACTTCTTCCATGAATTATATAGTCTTCGAATAGTGATCATTTTATATATATTTATATATATATATATTTCCCCCCCATTCATAATAAGTGTCTTCAGTACATAATGGTAGGTTTGATGTATGTTCTGTTTTCTGCGGGGAAAAAGAGAGAAAAGAACACAAATAGTAATTCCATGTATTACATTTTCAAATTTTCAAATTCTGAATTTAAATTGCTATTCATGACTCATGCAAATGTTGCAGATTTTAATAATTATAGGATACTAGGAAAAAGGCCCATTGTGGAAATAAATACAACGGCCTCTAGAAAGAGGCTCTGGGCGGGTGCCCCGGCCTTGGACACTCAGTGTCAATTTGCTGTGGCGACCTCAACAGAGTATGATGACACGGAGTCCACCATTTTCCCCAGAG